AACACTCTTAATGGCCATGCACTCTAATCTTGAGTCTAGTAAAAGTTTTTTGGGAATAGCTCAATCTGATAACCATGACCATGGCCAACTCTTACATAGGTGAGCCCTTCAAGGATGCTCGCGAGCATTCTCATCTCGGTACTCATTCAAGGTTAAACATTTTTTAATATCACATTTATTAATACTATAACCATAGGGATGAGCATAAATAATATAATACTATTTCAAGTCGCACAGTATGGTTTGTTTCTACCACATTGAACCTTTTTCATGGGATCACTAATTACAAATGTTGTGTTAATTCTGTGAAATGGAGTCCACCTTGGGTAGGGAGATGGTGACTGTAGCGTCGTTAGATTATGGGGTCAGTCAGAGAGGGGATGCCGATGCTGATAGTTATGCCATGGCCGAGGACCCAGTAGATTATACTGAAGAGTGGGGGGCGTCTAGGGTGCCCTCAAGTATGACGTGGAAAAGGTTAGGGGAGATCAGGGAGAGATACAGTGTCCCCCATGTCATAGAAATGCTAGTACCCGAGTCAAATGAGCGAGCCTGCTATCCGAGGCTCGGATGCGTGGCAGTCAGTGAATACCTGTTTAAGGCAGGTATGCGTCTTCCTCTGCACCCCTTCTTTAGGGCAGTGCTGAGAAACTTTATGTTGTCGCCGACCCAAGTTCTGTCAAATGGGTGGAGCTAGTTGGTCGGCTCGTACTTCCTGTGGAAGGAGGTGTCACTTGGGGAGGACATGCCTCTCCATGTATTCATGTCCCTTTTTCAGCCCCAGATTATAGGAAAGGAGTCCAGGGAGTGGTATTACCTTACACCTTGGGGGGCTCACGCACCCTTTGTGGTGGGACTGCCTTCCTCCATTAAGGGGTGGAAGGAGTCCTGGTTCTGGGTACGGGGAAAATGGAAGGTAGTGGAGGGGGACAAGGCCCTTTCTTGTACAGTGCCGACCCAGTACTACAAAACTCCTGAGTCTCCCAGCCCCTGCTTGTACTTCTGAATTGAACACTTAGAAAATTTCTAACTGTTGGGGCTTCCATTGCAGATTGTAGTACGAGGTTCAAGCTCAGCAGAGAAGAGTTCGAGGTGATAGAGGACATCTACAAGAGGCCTCTGAAGCTCCGCCACTTTGACCATCTGATTGACAGGAGTCGCTACTTCCTGGATTTTGGACAGATGGCATCCAGAGGTACGAGACTCCCATAGTTGTAAATTTCCTTCTCCTTTTGATTGGATACTGATGTGCTGACCTAACGTTCTTATGCAGATAAATTCAAGAGGAAGGAGTACCCGGCTCCAGACATGGCTACAATTCTGAAGGCCACCACCACCGTTTAGGCTAGGGCCTTGAAGCCAGGGTCTAGTGGGGCCAAGGAGGTCCAAGGCAGGGTAGAACGCCTTTCCAAGGACAGTACTCCAAAGGCTTTCGAAGAGGGAGCTTCCCAGAGGCAGGAGAGGCCAAAAAGAGTCTCAGGGGAAAGAGAAGGTCCTAGAGGAGGCGAAGAGGAGGAAGCTGGTGCACGTTACTAGCTTGTCTGGGAAATTTGGAACATCAGTATCTCACGAGGCCAAATCAACAGGTGAGCTAAAGCTGCTCGCATCCGCCTCCAAAGCCATCAAGTTAGAAATGGTCAGAGAGGCTAAAGCTGAAGAGGCCGCGAGGAGGGCTGCTGAGGCTGTCAAGGAGGAGGCAACTAAACAAAAGCCTGTTCGGGAAAAGGAGATATCTCCAAGCTTCCTAGTTGGAAGGGAGGAGACCTTGGCCCTAGCCTTGGTGGAGGCTCTTCCCTAAGAGGTCCGAAGCGCCACAGAGAACTTTTACCGGTTTTGGACGGACAGGTGGCAGCTGCATGCCTCCTCCTGCGATGCCACCAACCTAACGAGGGCTTTGGTGAGCCAAAGCGTCAGAACTTTCGACCTCGCTCTTGAATGTAGGGAGGCCATGAGTGATTTTCAGACAAGGACCCAGTCTTCGGAGGAGAAGACGGCCTCCCTTGCATAGGAGTTAAAGGTGGCTAGGGCCGAGGCGGAAGAAGCCAGGGCCCAAAAACTTGAAGAAATGGCCAAGCTTGAGTCTGCCTTGACCCAGATTGAGGCCTTGAAGAAGGAAGTCCATGAGTCACAGTGCAAGGTGGCCTCCCTAACAAAGAAGGTGGAGGTCTCCAATGAGCACCAGAAAGTGACTGCTGAGGCCTTGGAGAAGGCAAATCTCTCCTTAGTGGGTGCCCAAGAGGCTAACCAGTTCTTGGAAACCCAACTCAAATGGTATGTGGATAATGCCTCCCACGCTAGGGAGGAGGCTCAATAGGCTAGGGAGGAGGCGGTGCAGGAGTACGTCGTCAACTTCCATAATACAGAGGAGTATAAGAGCTTTAGTGCGTACTAGAGAAACTTTGCCTATGTCGAGGTGATGGAGCAGGCAGAGGAGCTGTATCCCAATTTGGATCTGACTCAACTTAGGTCTGAATTCGTGGATGAAGTACCTCAGACCCCCACTGAGGAGGTGCAGGGAAATGACGCAGCTGAGGTAGAGGAGACCAATGCCGATGCTCAAACTGTCGAGGCCCCAAGTACTGAAGCGCTTTCCCCATCTACCCAGGCTTAGATTAGTTTTCTTTTCAGTCTTTCAAATGTAATGGCCTGAGGCCCACTTTTGTAATTCTTATTGAAGATTGATGTAATGCCTTTTTCCTTCATTGCTGTTTCATTATTGTTTCTTTGTCCAAGTATACGCGCCTCATTAAACAAATGAACTTAAAGGTAGACAGAAGCACTAATAAAATAACATTAACTTGGTACCTTAACTCAATCAATTAACTAGATTGGACAGCTCTATGAGCCTCGGACTTAAGCAAACGGACTTTACTTAAGCGTAATAACTGCATGAGCCTTGGACCTAGGCAAATGAACTTTACCCATGCATAATAACTGTATGAGCCTTAGACTTAGGCAAATGAACTTTACCCGAGAATATTAACTGTATAAGCCTTGGACTTAGGCAAATGAACAACTCCATGAGTCTGGGACTGTATGAGCCTCGGACTTAAGTAAATGAACTTTACCCAGGCATAATAACTGTATGAGCCTCAGACTGTATGAGCTCCAGAATGCGAGTGAAGAGGCTTCTCTCCTTGGCGTTCAGCCTGGCCAAAGGGAGTCGTGTGCTAGCACCTTGGATTTCAAGTGAGGTGGCCCAGAGGTGGGACGATAACCTCTCCTCTGAGGTGACGACGCATCCCAGACATGGTGGATGGTGGATGGTGCAGCCATGTTGAGGCTTCTCCCCTTGGTGTTCAGCCTGGCCAAAGGGAGGCATGTCCTAGCGCCTCGAAAATCAAGCTAGGTGGTCCAGAGGTGGGACGCGAGCCTCTCTTTCGAGGTGGCAACGCATCCCAGACATGGTGGATGGTGCAACCATGTTGAGGCTTCTCCCCTTGGCTGAAAGCCTGGCCAAAGGGAGGCATGTGCTAGCGCCTTAGAGATCAAGCGAGGTGGCCCAGAGGTGGGACGTGTGCCTCTCCTTCGAAGGGCCGACGTATCCCAGACATGGTGGATGGTGCAGCCATGTTGAGGCTTCTCCCCTTGGCTGAAAGCCTGACCAAAGAGAGGCATGTGCTAGCGCCTCGGAGATCAAGCGAGGTGGCCCAGAGGTGGGACGTGTGCCTCTCCTTCGAGGCGACGACGCATCCCAAATATGGTGGATGGTGCAGCCATGTTGAGACTTCTCCCCTTGGCTGAAAGCCTGGCCAAAGCGAGGCATGTGCTAGCGCTTCAGAGATCAAGTGAGGTGGCCCAGAGGTGGGATGTGTGCCTCTCCTCCGAGGCGACGACACATCTCAGACATGGTGGATGGTGCAGCCATGTTGAGGCTTCTCCCATTGGCTGAAAGCTTGGCCAAAGGGAGGCATGTGCTAGCATCCCGGAGATCAAGTGAGGTGGCCCGGAGGTGGGACATGATCCTCTTCTCCGATGTGTCAAAGTAGTACAACACGTCAATTTAATTACTGAATTTTATTGAATCATACAAATGTTACAAAGGCTGGGAAAAGTCATCCAGTAAGATAGTACATTTATTGGTAATAGATTCTGAGGTGTTCAATGTTCCATGGACGGGGTTGTGCCTTGCCGTTCATGTCTTCTATCCAGTAAGTCCCAGGTCGAACCTCTTCTCTGATTTTGTATGGTCCTTCCCAGTTCGGGCCTAGGGAACCGGAACTAGGTTCTTTTGAGGACAAGAAGACCCTCCTGAGTACCAGGTCGTTGATTCGGAATGACCTCTTCTTGACTTTCGAGTTAAAGTACCTTGTCATCTTTCTCTGATATGTTCCAAGTTTCAATTGGGAGTCATCTCTTCTTTCTTCGATGAAGTCGAGGTTGAACCTCCGAAGTTTGTCGTTAGTTATCTCGCTGAAGTGCAGATGTCTCGCGGACGGAAGTCCGACTTCCACGGGGCTCATCGCCTCAGTTCCATATGCCATGAGGAAGGGCGTTTCTCCTGTTGGGGTCCTTATGGTGGTTCAGATCGCCTAAAGGACTTGGGGTAGCTCATCAACCAGGCCCCTTTAGACACATCAAGCTTCCTTTTCAGGACGTGCTTGATTGTCTTGTTCACGGCCTCAACTTGGCCATTTGCTTGTGGGTGGCGAGGTGTGGAGAAGTGCTTTTTAATGCTGAGCTCTTCGCATAATTCTCTAACCTTTTTATTGTCAAACTGTCTGCCATTGTCAGAGACAATTGAGTAGGGAATCCCGAATTGGCAAATAATATTTTTCCATAAGAACTTGGAGGTGTTAGCTTCAGTGATTTTTGCTAGTGGTTCAGCTTTGACCCACTTTGTGAAGTAATCAAGAGCCACTATTGCAAAGCTTGCCCCTCCTCTGCCTTTAGGTAGGGGACCTATGAGGCCCACACCCCATTTTGAGAAAGGCCAAGGGCTGGAAACGACGGTCAAATCCTGCGATGGTTGTCTCTGCATCGGAGAGAAGCGCTGGCATTTATCGCATTTTCGTACAAACTCGAGGACGTCCCGCTTTAGGGTAGGCCAGTAGTATCCCTGCCTCAATATTTTTTGTGCCAGATAGACCTCCGGAGTGGTTACCGCAAATGCCTACGTAGACTTCTCTCAATATGTAGGTAGCCTCTTCTTCTTCGACGCACCGTAGGAGTGGGGAGGAGAAACTCCTCTTGTAGAGAATATCATCAATGAAAAGGAAGTGGGCTGACCTCCTTCTTAGCTTGTAAGTCTCATTCTTGTTAGTTGGCAGTACTTGGTCTTTGAGGTATGCTATGATTGGCTGCATCCAAGTGGGAGTTCCAGCGATCCACATTATTGTAGGGGCCTCGATCGAAGGCAGGAGGAGGTGCTCAATAGCTACTACTATGAGTAGCTCTGAATCCTTGCTACTAGCCAGCTTCGAGAGTGCATCCGCATGCTCATTTTCGATGCAGGGGATCTGGATCAGCTCAAACTTTTTGAAAGATGGGATGAAGTTCATCACCATTTTCAGATAGGAGGCCATCATTTTATCTTTAGCTGAGAAGTTACCATTGACTTGGCTAACAACCAGCTGGGAGTCACTACTAATGAGTAGCCTCTTTACTTGCATTTCTGTGGCCAACCTGAGGCCCGTAAGAAGTGCCTCATATTCTGCTGCGTTATTGGTAGCTTTGAATTCGAACCTCACTGCTGAGATGAGTTTGTGACCTTCGGGGCTGATGAGGACAACCCCAGCACCTGAGTCGACTTCTCCAGCTGACCAATCGATGAAGAGATTCCACGTAGGGGGCTCGACGGGTTCCATGATTTCATCCACCTTGGGGAGGTTGGCGAATTCAGCCACAAAGTCAGCCAAGGCTTGCCCTTTTATGGCTGCCCTAGCCGTGAACACAAGGTCAAATTCACTTAGTTCCACTGCCCATTTCAATAACCTTCTTGAGGCATCGGGCTTTTGGAGTACCTGCCTCAGGGGAAAGTTTGTCAGTATATGGATGGTGTGAGCTTGGAAGTAGGGTCTCAATTTCCTAGAGGCCGTTATCAAAGCCAAAGCGAGCTTCTCCATATCAAGGTAACGGGTTTTCGACGATAGGAGCACTTTACTTGTGTAGTATACGGGGAGTTGGGTAGACCCTTCTTCCCGTATCAGAACCAAGCTGATAGCCTCATTGGAGACAGCCAAATATAGTTGTAGGATATCACCGGGCTTCGGTTTGGAAAGGAGGGGGCCCTGTCCCAGGTGCATTTTCAGGCATTGGAGGGCCTCTTCACATTCCTCAGTCTACTAGAATTTCTTCCCAGCATTCAGTACTTTGAAAAATGGGAGGCATTTGTCTGTAGCTTTGGAAACGAAGCGGCTAAGTGCGGCCACTCGCCCGGTAAGACTTTGTACCTCCTTTAACTTTTGGAGAGACCTCATTTTGCGTAGAGCCTCAATATTTTTGGGGTTGGCCTCAATTCCTCGTTGGTTGACCATGTACCCCAAGAATTTGCC